GCGGCCTCTGCACTCAGCCTGAGCGGAAGGAGGCAAACCCTATCAAAAAAAAAAAAAAAAAAAGAAGCAGCTTATTATTTATTTGAATTGGGGAATTATAAGATATATATGTCTGTGTGGTGTTTGTGTGGTATGTATAATAATATATACAACACACATATATCATGATATTTGTTTTGTGTTTGTTTGAGACAAGGGTCTTGCTCTGTCCCAGGCTGAGTGTTCTAGTAGTGTGATCAGGCTTCATTTGCAGGCCTGGACCCTGGGTCACACTGAATCCTCCCACCTCAGCTCTGAATAGGCTGAGACTAAGTGTGTGCCACCATACCGCTATTTGTTTTTATTATATTTATTGTTTTCCTGATAGCAGCTCTTCGTCTGTCGCCAGGTGGATGCAGTGGCGCACATCTCGGTCCACTGCAAGGCCCCGCCTCCGGGTCATTGCCATTCTCCTGCTCAGCCTCCTGTAGCTGGGATAAGGTGCACCGCCACGGGAACACCCAGCTATGTTTGATATTTTTAGTGGAGACGGGGTATTGTTTTTATTTTCTATAGAGATGGAGGTCTTCCCCTATGTTGGCCATGCTGATCTTGAACTCCGGCCTCAAGTGATCCTCCAGTTCAGCCTCCAAGTGTTGGGATATAGGTGTGACACATTGGTATTGGCCATCTCTGTTCTGTTTACACTCTATAGTATTCCATTGTAGAGGACTTTTATTTATCACCCTATTTGTGAGTAATTTAGGTATTCACATCTCTTTTTTTTCTTTTTTTCTTTTTCTTTTTTTTGAGACGGAGTCTTGCACTTGGCGGCCAGGGCTGGAGTGCAGGTGGCACGGATCTCAGCTCACGCAAGCTCCACTTCCGGTCCGCCATCTCCGTTGCCTCAGGCTGGGACTACAGCCGCACCGCCACCATGCCCGGCTAATTTTTGTATTTTTTTAGTAGGATGGGGTTTCCACGTTGTTAGCCAGGATGGTCTCGATCTCCTGACCTCGTGATCTGCCGCCTCGGTCTCCCAAAGTGCTGAGATTACAGGTTTAGCCACCCGGTGCTCGCCTCACATCTTTTCTTTCGATTATAAACAATGGCAACAAGGATACTATACTAAAAAGTGTGTGTGAATGTGTACATGAAAGTCTGTTCTTTGTATGAATTCCTAAAGGTGGAATTGCTGGGTCAAACAGAATGCATTTTATTAATTTTGTAAAATATTGACAGTCTGCCCTCTATGGAGTTTGTACCACTTTACATTTTTGCCAACAATGTATGGGAGTACCTATTGCCCATACCTTTACCAACATAGTGTGGTATCAAACTTTTAGAAACATTTTGAACTTTGCCAATCTACATCAGGGATTCTCACCTGAGGTCCACAGGTCTCAAGAAGGGGTTTTTCTCCCTGTAGTACCAATGTCCACCTTCCATACAAAATCTCAGTTTCAAGCATCCTGCTATCTGACCACCAGTTCACTCACACTAGTAGTGTCTGCACTTCAACTCTCTGCCTCTTGTTACCCTCAATCCACTGGCCCAATCAGTTTTTCAGTGTCAACCTCCCTTTTGCTTGTCCCCTTACCCAGCCTAGATTATCTGGCTCAATGCTGTGAATACTCCCTTGTCTAATGTCTTCATCAAACCCGCTAAGCAAAACCCCATACTTGGGTAAATTCAACTCCATTCTGCGCTGTACCTGCGGGAGCTGAATAGATCTGGAGAAAAACTCTCAATGATTCTAACTGGTCTTGAAGCCTCAGTGGGCGGTTGGCAACCCCTAAATCATGACTGTTCCTAATAAGTCCACTTTCCCAGCCCATTGTCTCAAAATTTTTTCATCCCTTTCAAACCTCCTCCCGTATCTCCTCACTCCCTCTTTCAGCTGCTGATCTTGCTTTTTCACCAAAATTAGAAGCAGAAAAGAACTCCCATATCCTTCCATGATCAAATCTATCAATGCACATGAGTATGTATCTGATTCTTTGCCTTTCCTTCTCTTTTTTTTTTGAGACTGAGTTTCACTCTTGTTGCCCAGGCTGGAGTAAAATGGCATGATCTTGGCTCACTGCAACTTCCATCTTCTGGGTTCAAGTGATTCTCCTGCCTCAACCTCCTGAATAGCTGGGATTACAGGCACCTGCCACAATGCCCGCCTAATTTTTTTGTATTTTTAGTAGAGGCGGGGTTTCACCATGTTGGCCAGGCTAGTCTCGAACTCATGACCTCAGGTGATCCACCTGCCTCAGCTTTCCAAAATGCTGGGATTACAGGTGTAAGCCACTGTGCCCGGCCTCCTCTTATATCATATAAAATGTCCATGCCCCTGACTAAGATTATCTTTTCATTTGTGGATCAACTTGAGGGGCACTGATCCTTTAATTACCCCCTCCTTTCTACTCAAAACTCTAGATCATCCAGTTATCCCATATCTACTCTTCACTGCCATCTCCTTGGTGTGCTCTTGTCTTTGTGTATTTGCGTAACTCCTCATGCCTCAAGATTCTGTTCTAATGTCCCTTCCACTTGGAAGTTCCCCTAACACACTCAGATCTCAGAAATTTTCTTTTCCCACAGCCCCATCTGTCCAAAGAGTTAGGTTCCCACAGGTTCACAACCAAGGAATAAAAAAGACAAGTCTGGCCAGGCACAGTGGCTCAAGCCTGTAATCCTAGCACTTTGGGAGTCTGAGGCAGGCAGATCACTTGAGGTCAGAAGCTGAAGGCCAGCCTGGCCACCATGGTGAAACCCTGTATCTACTAAAAATGCAAAAACTTAGCCGGGGCCGGGCATGGTGGCTCACGCCTGTAATCCCAGCACTTTGGGAGGCTGAGGTGGGTGGATCACCTGAGGTCAGGAGTTTGAGACCAGCCTGACCAACATGGAGAAACCCTGTCTTTACTAAAAATACAAAAATAAGCTGGGCATGGTGGTGCATGTCTGTAATCACAGCTACTTGGGAGGCTAAGGCAGGAGAATCGCTTGAACCCGGGAGGTGGAGGTTGCGGTGAGTGGAGATCTCGCCATTGCACACCAGCGTGGGCAACAAGAGTGAAATTCCGTCTCAAACAAACAAACAAACAAAACAACAACAACAAAAGTAGCTGGGCATGGTGGCAGATGCCTATAATCCTAGCTACTTGGGAGGCTGAGGCAGAGGAATCGCTTGAACCCGGGAGATGGAGGTTGCAGTGAGCCGAGATGGCGCCACTGCATTCCAGCCTGGGAGACAGAGCGAGACTCCTTCTCAAAAAAAAAAAAAAAAAAAAAAAAAAGACAAGCCCTTCCAAAACCAGGTCCAAACTAGCAAGATGGGGAGGCCACCAAACTGTGGACCTAAGGGGTCCCCAACTACCGTAGCTGTGCTAGATGGTGCTTCTGTGCTTGCAGGGGGCACCTACATGTGCCTACATTAAATAATCTATCATCCTGTGTGTTGAATTCTATCTAGAGCTAGACTGGGAACTAAGGGCAGAAACTGTGCCTTATTAATCTTTTTAACCCAGCAGAGTGCTTTATGAGTATACTGGTTGAATGATAAGGAAGGAGGATGTCTTGGGCTTGTAATAATATTCCTAGGAGTTTGGGATATAGCTGCACAGCTTACTGGAACGAAGGATGACTGACCAGGTAAGGATGCAGACTCTCTCCCCTACCATACTGGCAAAGTTAAAAGTAAGCCACAGGAAAAAAACATCGTTTGGGAAACTCACTGAGACGCAGACCAACTGAGGTTCTCAAATATCTCTGGGCTGCTGTAATCGTTCATGTCCAATTTCTTTTGACTCCTATCCCTTTCTTCCCTGCTCCCTCTACCCTGTTTCCTTCTTTCTCTCTTAATGTTTTTTGTTTGTTTGTTTGTTTTTGAGACGGAGTCTTCCTCTGTCGCCCAGGCTGGAGTGCAGTGGGCACGATCTCGGCTCACTGCAACCTCCTCCTCCAGGGTTCAAGCGATTCTTCTGTCTCAGTCTCCCGAGTAGCTGGGACTACAGGTACCCGCCACCATGCCCGGCTAATTTTTGTATTTTTAGTAGAGACGGGGTTTCACCATACCAGCCAGGATGGTCTCGAACTCCTGACCTCGTGATCCGCCCACCTCGGCCTCCCAGAGTGCTGGGATTACAGGCGTGAGCCACTGCTGCCTGTTTTTTGTTTTTTTTTTTTGAGACAAAGTTTCCCTCTTGTCGCCCAGGCTGGAGTGCAGTGGTGCCGTCTCAGCTCACCGCAACCTCCGCCTCCCGGGTTCCAGCGATTCTCCTGCCTCAGCTTCCCGAGTATCTGGGACCACAGGCACCCACCACCAAGCCCTGCTAATTTTGTATTTTTAGTAGAGACGGGGTTTCTCCATGTTGGTCAGGCTGGTCTCGAACTCCCGACCTCAGGTGATCTACCCGCCTCGGCCTCCCAAAGTGCTGGGATTACAGGCGTGAGCCACCGCGCCCGACCTAATTTTTGTATTTTTAGTAGAGACGGGGTTTCGCCATGTTGGCCAGGTTGGTCTCAAACTCCTGACCTCAGATTATCCTCCCCGCTTGGCCTCCCAAAGTGTCAGGATTACAGGCGTGAGTCACCACGCCCGGCCTCTCTTAATGTTTCTTAAGAAAACAAAAAAAAATAGGGGTATTGATTTTCCAGCTGCCCCAAATAATCTTTCCTTTTTGCGTCCCTTGGTCTCAGTTCTAGCCACTTCCTATCCACCCTGTGGCTAATTTGTCCTTTCCATAACAGACCCCTTAGATTGTGTCTATGAGGTTGGGCACAGGCGTGATGGGTGAACACTCCTGGCGGGAGACTGCAGGCACTGCAGCTACATCCAGTTTCGTACCGAGAGCAGGTACCGCACCGCGGGACACTTATTTGCCCCGTCCTGCGCTGGAGCAGAGCGGTCTCAGCCGCCAGCACCGCCCTGGAGTCCCGCCCCAATCCTGGGCGAGACTTCGCTGTGAGCGCCGCTGCCACGGATTGGCTTCGAGGGTCCGGCCCCTCGGCCAATCAGTCGCGGGGGAGTTGTCTGGGGGCGGGGCTCCGGCCTCCTCTTTGAGAGTCCCGGATTTACCAGGGCCGGTGGGACCACCTCGGGCTCCCGCCTCAGGGTCGTGGCCGGGGGACCCGGTGAACATGGCCTGTGCTACTGTGGCAGCAGCACGACGGGGCCTCGGCCGGGCTCCCCCTCTCATCTGGCGCGGCTACCAGACCGAGCGGGGCGTTTACGGCTACCGGCCGAGGAAGCCCGAGAGCCGCGAGCCCCGGGGCGCCCTGGAGCGTCCCCCAGGTCGGGGATGGGGCCTGGGCGGTGGGAGCGGGGGCTGGGACGCAGAAGCATCATCCCCTGGTCGATTTGCGGTGGGGTGTCGGGGTCAGGGAACCGGCCGCCGGCCTGAACGCGCGGCCAGTGGGGAGGAGGGGGAGGTGAAGGGAGCAGAGGGTAGGTGTGGGTGCTTAGTGTCGGTCATCCCCCGTCCAGCCTCTGTAACTGAGGATCCTTGAGGTCCACGCTTGGGTGGTCTTCCCATCTTGCTGGTCCGGACCTGGTTTTGGAAGAGCTTTTCTTTCCTTTGTTGGAAACGTGTGAGAAAGTCTTTTTTTCTTTTTCTTTTTCTTTTTCTTTCCTTTTTTAATGTTTTTTTTTAGACGAAGTCTCGCTCTGTGGCCCCGGCTGGAGTGCAGTGCTGCGATCACAGCTGCCTGCAGCCTCGAACTCCTGGGCTTAAGCTATCCTTCCACTCCTTCACCTCAGGCTGGTCCTGGAGTAGCTGGGGACACAGAGGGACGCACCAAAGCCCGGCTTTTTTTTTTTTTTTTTTAGGTAGGATGGCTGGTCGACCATGTGCCCAGGCTGAATTGACTACTCTTGAGCTCAAGCTTAATCGCTGCTCAGCCTTCGGTCTCCCAACCGTTGGGTTACAGGATGAGCACTGGACCCAGCCGTAGAAACCAATACGGAGCTGTGGGAGAGTCAGAGTTTATCTCCCAAGGGTACAATTTCCTATGTGCCATCTCTGAGGATTTATTGTGAGCAGGTGGGGGGTCCAAGTGACTGCAATGCTGGGGAGAATGGGCAGTGTTCCAGTCTTGGAAGAGCCAGCCATGATTATTTATTATGTGTTTTGTTCCTATGTAGCTAGTTGTGATTACTTTAATTGCCTAGTTAAGTCTCTAACCTCTGTAGTATACCGAATTTGGAACTATAGTCTCGTGGGTGTTCTTTCTTTTCTTTTAAGACTCTGTTAGAACCTTTTGGTTATTTGTCTGTGCTGGTGTTTTATATGAATTAATCAGTTATGTTATTGTCTTTTTTGGACTTCTTTTTTTTTTTTTTTTTGAGGATTGAGTCGCCTGTCGCCCATGCTGGAGTGCTGTGGTGTGCGTTTCTCGTGGCTCTTATGCAAGTCTTCCGTGTTCTTCTCTCTGTTGTTTCTCGCCATTGTCCTCTGTCTTTCTCTCGTTGTTGTTCTGTGACACATGTGTTGCTTCTCTTTGTCTCTATGTTTCAGTTTTTGTTCTCTGCTTATTTGTTTGAGCTATGTTTTGATGTTTTTATTCCCTTTTGTTGTTAATTTTGCTTCCGGTTTTACCAGTGCATGTTGCATTAAAGATTGTTATTCGGTGGCAATTGTTAAGAAGATTCAAGAT